ATTTTACATTTTCACATGAAGTAGTAAATATGCGTATGGTTCGTTAAACTACACGCATGAGACAATTGAATCGTGTAAGTTTTTGATAGTTATTATTTTTCATTATTTTATTCCTTTGAAACAACATTTAATATGACCATTTTCTAAGTGTGACATACTTTAGCAATCGACTATTGTGTTTCAGTCAAGAAAACATCACGTCATTTTTTATTTAAGTTTCATGTATGAAAAGACTGACTCAAAAAAGAATGAACTATATCAATATATCTGTAAAAGGCATGTTTAAAAAGACACTAAATTTGTTGACACATTGCAGAAACTTAATACGAAAATTGTTACATTATTCAAAAAAAGACAAAATTGTAAAAACTGTGTATTTTTCAATTGTTTTCACACCGAAAGCGTTAAATTTATCTGGTTCGTAAGACTGACTATATTGAAGTATGTGACAGAGTAGAAAAATTCCTCTAAAAACGACAAAAAAAAACCAATGAGCTGTTAAGGTTGAACTCTTTGGATTTTGATCATCGATAGATTTATAGTAGTCAACATCTTATATTGTTGAAACCTTGTTATAAACATCAAAGCATCGTTAATCAGAAATTCTAGGATATGGGTTATGGATATGTATGCATATATTACTTAAAGACAAAAGTTGTTCTGTACAGTCTACTGATAAAACGTAATCCATAATATCACTGGAAAACAAATATCTCCATGTAAGTAGAACTTTTTTAATTTGTGTTACTGATAAATGCTACATAAATGCCAGTGTAGCAGCACCCTATGCAGCAACAAAGCTCAACATTAACAAAGGAAAAAGCAAGATTCTCCGATAAAATACAGCACTCACCAACCAAATCAAAATTGGCAGATAAGATTTATGAGGATGAAAAAATCTTTAAATTTCTAGGCAGTATAAATGATGAGCAAGGGGGATTTGATGTAGATGTGAAGACGCGGATCGACAATTCAAGGACAGCATTCCTACAATTGAAGGAAATTTTAAATTCAAAACAACTATCAGCCAACACGAAAGTCACAATTTTCAATACAACTGTCAAGACAATTCTACTGTATGGAGCGGAAATTTGGAGAACTACGAAAGCCATCATCAAGGGGATAAAAGTATTTATAAACATTTGTCGGTGAAATATCTCCGATCTGTTAGCCGAACATCAACAGCACCGACCTACTGTGAGAGGGAACAAACAGTATTCTAGAGGAGGAAGAAATCAGGAAGAAGGGATGGAAGTAGATAGGTCATACATTAAGGAAAGCACCCAACTGCGTCACAAGACAAACCCTCACTTGGAATCCTCAAGGTCCTAGGGAAAGAGGAAGACCAAATAACACACATTACGTCGAAAAATAGAGAAAGATATGAGAAGAATTCTCAGCAATTGGACAGAACTGGAAAAGGAAGCCCAGGACAGAGTAGGTTGGAGAATACTGGTGAGTGGTCTGTGCACCAATAGGGGTAACCAGCGTAAGTAAGTAAATAAGTTAGTAAGTAAGTAGGTAAGTAAGTAAGTAATGGACATGACGGATTTTCTCTTCGATAGCTCCGCTATTCATCGAATAGATCAACTCATGTTAGTTTTTACTGTCTTCGCTTGCTCAAAGAATAAAAATTATTTTACAACTCTTTCATAATTATAAACATGTAATTTATCGATTCATAACATTTTGACACATAATCAAAAAAGTGTATCTTATCTGTTTTCATTCTTCTGATTCCAGAGTGAATGTTTTTTTTAATGACATCGATTAGAAAGTAGCTATAAATAATCATTATATTCTATTGAGGGTTTCATCTGATCTTGAAACTTTAGATTACTGATTATTAGATCACATGGTCGCCCTCAAAACTATATCATAAATCTAAATGGTATCGCCAATAAATATTTAGTTGGTCAGTAAGCACTTCTCATTCATTTTAAATCCTAGAAGCTGAAAACTTTTCCTCTTAACATAGTTGGGTAGTTAAACTGTTTATTTCAGAAATTTCACAGTTCGTCACCATGTTTTCTTTTTGAATTCAACATTTGTAACCAATTTTCACTGTCACTAAGTCTTATCGTATAAACTTTTTCATTTGCCTTGACGGTATTTATGACTTATACTCAAATTTTTATGTTATTGAACGTTATGAAAAGAGTTTACATGCGAATCATATCATTTTAAAAACTAAATTAGTTGGATAAACTACAACATTTTGACAAAACTTTTATTTATAACATTAGAAAATATAATTTTTTTTACAAAAAACTCTTAAAAATATTATTTATAATCGGTCATTAAATAAAATTCTATTTTTTCCCAGGCAGTGGTTGAATAAATAAATAAGTAAGCTTGTCTAATCTATCATCTATCATTAATCGAAGAGAATATTTATTTTTCAATAAATCATGTATATGTGCATCGCTTAGATTGTGAATAAAAGTGACGATTAGTGAGAATTGTTCATGGACATCTGTTGTTATTATATAATTCTGTTAAAGAAGAGATAAGAGTCAAATATTTGTCATGAAATATTTATTAAAAAAAATGATAAAAAGCATTGATCAATCCAATGGTAGATTCAGTTTTTGAAATGTTCCATGATTAAATGTTTATCTATGCGCTACTCTGAGAAGAATTACTTCGAATTCATTGAAATCTGTCATTTGATTTAAGTCAACATAGTCTATTAATTTATTCATCTGCTTAGTGAACTGAATTACTAAGGATTTTTTTTGGTTAAACATATGGACTTCACAAAAGTATTGACGATCTATTAAGGAAGATAACCAACGTAAGAGAATAAGTATTTTCTACTGATACAGGCCTTTCATGATATGCACTCATTTGAATGGGCATTTAACGTTAGTTTATATTATTAAAGATGTGGGAATATATGTAACTTATGAACGAATACTATTGCTCCGTTATGATCATGGTATTATTCGTGTTCTAACTATAATGCATGTGGCAAGCTAGGAAAGAGTACATTGTTACATCAAACTAAGAAAGTTCAATAGAGAAATTACTCGGAAAAAAGAACACCTAGAATCTGAAAATCATTAATATATAAACATGTTTCATGTTTTGAAATAATATATGCAGATTTAGGGCAAAATGCACCGCTGAAAATTATAACACCCTGGATGCACTAAGAAACGTAATGTATAGGACAAGTTAGTTTTTATTTACAAATTAATTGTTGGTAAACACCGTTGATGTTGTTACTTATCATGTGTTTGTTTTCCTACTGAAACTATTTTCATAAGTTTCGATTGACTCAAATCCCAACAACTACAAAGATTAGGGAGGGAAAGTGAAAGATTGTATGTTCTGTGTCATCCATTCATGAGAATCTTTAACGAATCATTCCCAACCAATTTTGTAACAAAATGTATAGAAAGATAAGGATAATCACAATACCGAGGAAAGTATATGGCGAAAGTTCGAACCATGTGAGGTGCTTCATCTTTCCTTGAAACGATGTGCTCCTACTTCAAGCGGTATTGAAAAGGCATATTGATCCATATCAGTTTGCTGAGAAGTGGAAAGCAGCACTTCAGATGCTCCTATTGTTAATCCACATCATTAACTAGTGTCTAGCTGAGAAATGGTTGGAAAGTGAGTTCGATACGCAATTCTAGACTATACTCGTCTTTGACTCCATTCCGAGATTACGAATACTAAAAAAGATTAACCAGAATCAACACCAATAGCTATACTATCAACTAGATGTGTTCATACCTCTTTGGAAGAGAACAATGTACTGTATTTGGAGGAAGGTGTTCAACGTTTTTAACAACTTAAGAAGCTTAACAACAAGTAGCTCTCCCTTTCCCTTCCTTTTCCTCTTTTGCCTCGCATGACCTACCATATTTTACAGATATCACTCCTAAGCAGTGTGCAGATGATCGTAGTGTATGAACACCGATTTCTACCTTTTCACTTCCAATGGAAATGAATGAACTCTTGAGGCCCACTGAACGATTGCTTACTATTAATGGTCTCACACTTAATCTTTACAAATACCAAGCTGTTAATTTCAACCTGAGTCGTGAACAGCACTTAAACGGTCTACTGGAATCGTGTGGACCTTGCAACATTGGATATTTTGTAATAGTGTCAAAAGTAAACGGTACATCTGTCGGATTTCCCTCTGATCTCTCTTGGTCTTTATATGTTTTACTGATATCGAAGAAAGTCTTCCGCTTGGCCTCTTATAACAGCAGGTTATTAATCAGCACTCACTTTTACGATTGGTAAATTCTTCACTGTTTCGTAATATTCTTTGCTGGGCTACTTGAGTGAAGAATTTGCCATCTTGCGAAGAGTGTTGAAAGTTTTTCGTAGGGTTTGTGAAAAATCTTATCAGATACTTACCATCCACTTCATTCACATCTTTCTTTTTGTATGTCAGAGGTATATTCATAAAATCGTTTTATCAAAATTCCATATAGTTTATTTTCTAATTTTATGTATACTTATTGATTGGTTTTTTGGTTTTTGGCAAAAGAAACGGATAGAAATACTTTCTGCTTAGAATTACATATTGTACTAAACAATACACTGTTAAATAAAGCCATTAATGATAACAATTCTAAGTGAATAATACAATGACAGATCTTATACTGGCTATATTTTCCCCGTTTTGTTTTAACTGTTTGACTGCTTCGACCTGATAACATGTCAAAGAAGATTACGTCATTTTATCAAATCTAATCAAAATCTTGTGCACTTCATAAAAAAAAAACATAACACCTCCTTAACTTGAATAAAAAACTGTCTATGGCATCATATTTAAAATGTGATAAAAGTGCATCTATGAAAATGATGACTTCTCTTTTATTTCGACAAACTATTCTGAAAATATTTCAGACATTTTATGCGTAAATTTGCAAATATTCATTATAATGTGTGAAATTATTTCAAATAATTTTGTAGAATGCTTTTTTTTTTAATTTCATATTATTCTGTCATCTTGTTTTTATTTTTTCCAGGCGTGATGCTATGAATAATCAACATCAACAAAGAACAATTAAAAATGTTGGCTATCGTTTAGGTAAACGAAAACGTCTTTTTGAGAAACGATGCCGGATATCAGATTTTTCATTAAGTTTTGCCGTGTTCGGTATATTGGTTATGTTAATTGAGACAGAATTAACATTTGCTGGTGTCTATGAAAAAGTAAGTCAATTCGTTTGGATAATTTATTTTAGCCTACAGTTATTTTTTTTTACCTGAATGGATAGTTCTATTTCAGAGGATGGTTTCAGGAAATTAAATATTAATTTGTATTCGAATCAATCGAAAAACTGTGTTTCTTTTTCCAGGACAAAGGAGATGTAAATACATGATGTCTAGTTAGTCTGTCGATTACTGGCTTGTTTCTTTAAGTCACTGACTTTTGTATTAAACTCTTCAAAAACATATTCACACATCATTGGTTTAACCTGTGAAGTAAGAGTAATGTAGACATTATTTCTAGGTATAACACCAAAGTTCAATGAGTTAGATATGCACGGTTCATAAATTCTCAATTTCTTTATCATCTAGCATTATTTCCAAAATAATCGGAAACCACGTTGATCTTGACAGCTGTTTTGATGTTAAGAAAATTCATTACTGGTTCCCATCGTTTATTATATGTAGCATTAAACTAATGAGCAGGTCTGAATTTGCAGATTTTTTCGAAGACGAATTTTTGTTTCCCTAAACACCTTTATGTACTATAAAGACCTTTACATCCCTTTTAAATACCTCGATACATAAATGTTAAAAATCTTTGACACGTTTATTTTCCAGTTTGTGAAAGCTAATTGCTTTACCTACTAATCTGACATTCACGGAAAATAGACATTAACAATATCAAGTTTAAATTTCTTTAGCGTTTCAAACAATTATTGAGTATTTCATGAACTTATTTTCCTTCACAAATTTAAACTAAGCAGGCACAACAATTTCATCGAAATCATGAATCGATCAATGTTAGACCACCGTAATAAACTTGGAAACAGTGAACGACAGTTACGTCCTATTATACGATTCATCTGCAATACGAATGAAACTCAGGACCTTCAGTCTCACACGTGAACGCTTAGTCTCTAGACCACTAAACCAAAATGATTAGAGTTTAACGTTAACACCGTTGGATGCCTGCTATTACTTCCAGGTTTTCTCACTGGTGGTCTAACATTGATCGAATTATGATTTCAATAAAAAATCAACAACTTTCACAACCTTATGATGAAAAGTAGAACATTACTTTCCGAATAAAATGAATTCACCAGTTTTGGCAGCTTTTTCTTCAGTTGTATAATGTCCATCAACAATCAATTAGTTATTTGAAATGAAGAAAAATTAAGAACTAAATTCTAACATATTTTTATTACTGCATAGGTTCTTATAAAATACCTCTTGATTGTTATATTATGTATTGAAAAATGTACAAATACTTATTTGTTTAGTGTTTTTGTAAGAAGAAGATTTGTCGATAACTTATTTCAACTTCTTAAATCATTTATTTTGTAACAAAACTAAAAACGCTGAAAGAAATATGTAGTTGCATACTTAAAACATCTTACTGTAGAAATCTTTTCTACTTCTTTGCATAAAAATTACAAAATATACACTTTCATCGAACGGTAATTGATTATTTATCTATTTGTATATTAGTTTCACCTCAGTAGTAAATTATTCTCTCATATATACAACAAATTTTTTAATTATAGTGCAAAATTTTATTCAATACATTTCGTCAAATGTTTAGATTTTATTTTACATTAAAATAACAATAATAAATGAAAAAAGATGAATCTACTTTTTGACAAAAACTTATGGAATAATTTAAGTAGAAAAAAAATTATAACAACAATAAATTGACAAATATATTTGAGAAATAATATCAGTTGGTCAGCTTTATCGATTTTTATGATAATTCAATTATTAGTGAACGATTCGTTCAAACTTCTAGAAATAAAATCAAATGTAAAAAATTGGATTAAGTTTAGATCATAAATTGTTATTGAATTTCAACATCATTCATATAAAACCGTTAATTTTTTTCGTTCGAAGTGAATACACTTGAAGTTAAAAATGTTTGAGTCAATCGAAATTGTAGCTATGCAGTAAAGAAAACCGCTGAAAAAAAAGAATTATGAAATGATGAATATGATAAATATTAAGAAAAATTCAAAATCCTTCACTAATAAATCGGATTAAGAATGTACTTATCACCTACTATTTACTGAACACGCAATGACTGAAATTTCCACGATATCTTTAATCAATGAGCAAGAGATAAAACGGACTGTTTAATCTTAAAAATGGATCCTTTTTGAAATCGACTCATCTTGATCTTAGCACAAACTAGCTTTTAGAACTAGTTAATACTGAAATATATGATAGTCGTAAATTAAATTTCAATGAAGTGTAATGTTAACAAGACCCATAAATATTATATTTGGACTGGAGAATGAGTTTTATGTGGTGACATACTGACTTACTTACGCCTGATACACTTCATGAAACATGGGCCACCAATCAGGATTCTTCAACCATCTCCACCCCGGGTTCTTCTTTCCACTTGTACTCGATTGCTGTTCATTCTTTTCTTGTCTATCTCCAATTCTTGGCTAAATATGTTCTTTGATACGCCTGTTTTCCTTTAACCTTAAGAGTTCAGAGTTATAGCTTACCTCGTGAGGCATGGATTTTATTATTATCACAGTTTTCGTCCTATACAGCACACACTGATCAGTTTGATAAGTTTGAATAAGAGTACAGTGGAATCATTAGTGTAATTAGCTTAGTTCAATTTAAATGTTCTTCACAGATAAAATTATATGCTTTCCAAATACGAGTTTATGTAACCAACTTACGGACAGCCAGGTTTTACAAATGCAAAGTATGCTATCCCGTATGGTAACGTCAATAGGTAAGACATTTCAAATTTGAACAAGAATGCTATGTGCAATTGTAGTCACAACTGAGTAATTTCAGTATGTAGTTTAAATGAGTTCAAAATCATTTTTCGTGTTTCATTTAACTCGCTCACAAATATCGGTTAATATTCTTTTTAAAAAAGTAATTTCCGTTTGTTAATTTCTTTCTCTAAACATACACTGCAAAATAGAGACTTTCACTAGTGAATATACCGATCGATTGTCAGTTCTAAAATGTAACTAAATTTTTATTCTCATTTGAGCTCAAATTTAATTGTGCAATCAGGCAAGCTTATGTTCAGTCAAATAATTTCATTTTAAGCGATGAACTACTGAACTTTTAGCTAATATCCATGAAAATGAAAGAAAAATCAATTATTTCATATATATATATATATATATATATATATATATATATATATATATATATATATATATATATATATATATATATATATATATATATATATAAAGCTGGATTTCTACTCACTTGATCAAGTTTCCTCAGATTATTCCTTTCACACTTAATCTACACTACAGTTACTCTCTATAAATTGTATTTTAAGCAAGTATACTTGTCATTTTGTATAATTAGTAGCTAATTCTGATAGAAAAAATTCTGTGATTTTAACTCGTCATGCTAAAGCACTGGAAAATAAGGTTTGAAACTTTTCAAAAACTTACTGAAGCCACCAGCTGTTTAACTGAACATACAGATCAATACTTCAGAAACAGACATTTCAATGGCCGACACAATCCATTTGTAATAATTTGTTTATCTGTCTATGTTGTCTGATAATGATTGTTTTGCAGATGGAGGTATATTTGAACCAACAAATTAAATTGGTTTTAAATATGATCTTGGTAAACTTCAATAACTAAAAATGACGAACCGTTTAGTCTTATCAGTAACTAAACGCAATTCAAACTGATTGTTTTACAAATTGTGATTTTTCTCTGATTAAGCTATGGCCAAGCAAATAAAAGTACTGAAGTTCGCTAGTACACGAACCTAGTGAATAAAAATATTACTCAGTTTTTTTAAATCAATTATGAAATGAAGCACGTGGATAGATAAAAGCATACTACCCTGGACACATGTATAAAACCTGTCCAAATTCACATGTAAGGAATTAACCAAGTTCAATACATATGTAACAGAGCAACTGGGATTGTGTGTTCAAAAAATAGAATAAATCAGGTTGACATGTAGTGATATTTACTGTTACAAAGAGAACTAGGATAACTTCACAGTTTTCATTTATTCCAACATGAAACATCTTCAATATTGTTCACTCAAAAATTTCCAAGATCATTTCAACAACTTGTATTTATGATCAAATAAAGTGAATTCCAATTGAATATACGCCTAATTTTCTAAGAATTCTTTTTCGTTTGATTAAGCATTCAAATAAAGTTATAACATTCATTCATAACTTAAACTTACTTACTTACGCCTATTACCCCTCAATGGAGCATAGGCTGCAAACCAGTATTCTCCAACCCACTCTGTCTTGGGTTTCCCTTTCTTTCCAATTTTTGTCCATTCTTCTCATTTCTGTCTCCTTCTCTCGGTGTAACATCTTCCTCGGTCTTCTCCTCTTCCTTTATCCTTGAGGGTTCCAAGTGAGTGTTCGTCTTCTTAGGAAGTTGACTGCTTTCTGCAGTGTGTGTCCTATCTACTTCCATCCCTTCTTCCTGATTTCTTCGTTCACTGAAATCTGGTTTGTTCTCTCCCACAATAGGTTATTACTGATAGTGTCTGGCCAGCGGATCTAAAGTAGAAAAATGTATATGAACACCTGTATCTTCTCGATGATGGCTTTGGTAGTTTTCCAAGTTTCCGCCCCATACAGTAGAACTGTCTTGAAATTCGTATTGAAAATTGTGACTTCGATGTCGGTAATAGTTGTTTTGAGTTCCAGAAGTTCTGCAATTGTAGAAATGCAGCTCTTGCTTTACGGATCCGCGCCTTCACATATGCATCGAATCCAGCTTGACTGTCAGTGATGCTGCACAGATATGTAAAGGTTTTAACGTACTCCAAGATATCTCCGTGAAGTGTGATTTGTCGGCTCATGTTCTGTTTTAAGGGTGGATCTTGCTTTTCCCTTTATGTATGTTGGAACCTGCTGCTTCTACACTGGTTGTCTTCTCTTGCATATTCTGTTCCGTGTGCGATATAAGAGCTAGATCATCTTTGATATTCAGATCTTCCTGCTGAGTCTTGGCTGTCCACTGTAT